TGTTTCAGCAACATTTAATTTAAAACCTGTACTTTTGAGGTTAAACAAATGTTCATAATTAATTTAAATAAATTACAAGTTAAAAATGGCATGGTAATTTCTCTTTTTTTGTATCGAAAAAATATCGAATCGTGACACTAAAGTATTGAACCGAACCGAATCGTTAATTTTCTGTATTGTTCGCACCCTTAAGAGATAGATATTTTTCATTTACACTAAATGAAAAAGGAATGTGGAATAAACCTAAGTATGTGTGGTTTAATTCCGGGTGCACTGGTTTCCTCCCACAAACCAAACTCATGAATGTTAGGTTAATTGTTAACTGGATGGACTTGTGACCTGTCCAGGGTGTACCCCGCCCCTCGCACACTGACTGCTGGATATGGGCACCAGTGACCCTAAAGGGAGGAGCAAGTGCAGATAACGGATGGATGGATTTTCCTTATATGTCATCCAGATCTTTTACATGATTGTTGAAATAAATTAACATGATCATAACATAATTATAATAATATTAAGATATTGTAAAAAAAAATTACAAATATTTTATAACACAGATCCAGCTGGGTTTGCTGTTAGTCACTTAGCTGCTTTGTTGGCTGTGAGCTGTCGCCCTCTTTAGGGTGTTAGCAGTTGACAGGGACAAAGTTCCCTTTAGCTTTATTATATAAACTCTTTGGATTTTAACTCACAAATACTTGTTAGCTCAGACCTTGAGAATATTAAATTAATTAATTAGTTAATTGATTGATTGATTAATTAATTAATTAATCAATTTATCCATCCATCCATCCATTTTCTGTACACGCTTTTTCCGTTTCTTTCTTTCAGGGTTGCGTGGGTCACTGGTGCCCATATCCAGCAGTCACAGTGGGAGGGGCGGGGTACACCCTGGACAGGTTGCAAGTACATCACATTTATTTATTTATTTATTTAGTTTGTTTGTTTGTTTGTTTTGCCCATTCTAATAAATCAGATAAGGAGGTGCTGATGCGTTTTTTCATTCATCATTTTATCTGCAGCAACRTAGTTAATGAAGAAAGTAAATATGCCAATAAATGGAATTTTTCCATGACGTCATCCTGATCCTGAATAGTTGAAATGTTAGGAATAATTTATCCTGTCTGGGGATCAACAGGTTACATTTCAACATGTTTTAATTGACAGTCACACAGAGAAACGTTTTCTAGCTTCTGTAATTCACACAAAGCATTTTGGGTCAGAAGAAAAAAAGGTGCTTTAGAGCAGTGTTTCCCAAAGTTGGGGTTGGGACCCAAAGTGGGGTCCCGAAACATCAAGGTGGGGTCCTGAAAAGATTTTCTGAATTAATTATATTTTTG